GATACTTTAAAAGTCATAGGGAGAGGAGGCCACTTGAATGGTACCAGGAAATGGTTTAGGGCATACTGAGAATGCAGTTGTTGGTAAGAGTACATCTTCCTAATTTGGGGTCTGCACAGTTGATGAAATAATATTGTAAATCATATTGAACATACAGCCCATTAGAGTTCATTTATCTAATAGCATCGTTAACAAGGAAGGAAGTGCAACCACTAGCATGTCATCTTATGAAAAGAGGAAATGGAAAGATTATCAATTGTGTTGGGTATGTAAGAATACTATATATTCAAATGTGAGACTTAAAAAACACGTTTGGTAATTCTTAGGACTACCCAATATGAAAGTAGATGTGGTTAAATTAACTATTACAGGTTCTGATCCTCTCCTGAGATTTACTTTGTGTTTTGCACCTACCTTTCCTTGTCCTGCCAGGCCCTCCAGTTTTGCCTCATATGTTTTTTGCCCCATATATATATTTTTCATTTTTCATTTTGCCTCGAGTTCTAGATGCACCTTTTGTTCTTTTTGTAGGTTCTGTTAATGATTTATTCATTTTGTGTGATAGTCTCATGTAGATATTTGCAGGATTGATATCTTTAACTATAATCTCTCCCATCCTCCCTCCCTTCCTTTTTTTTCCTTTTTTTCTTTCTCTCTCTCTGCCCTCCCCCGCCCTTTACCCTTCTCTCTCCTCCATTTTTTTTTCTCTTTTAGTCCAGGAATTTCTGTTCTCTCCTTTTTCCATAATCTTTCTAATGTGTACATAACTATTGGTATTCTTCTATTTGGGATTACCTCTGCCTTCCTTTTTCTTTTCAAATCAAGATTTTTTTGAAATTGCGATACCCAGTTCCCATGCCTTTTGCTCACTTAATCGTCTGCCTTTCTCAACCAGTTACTTTTTCCCTAATACTTTATTATGAAAAATTTCAAACATACAAAAAATTTGAAGGAGGTCTGTGAACACTCATGTACCTACCACCTGGATTCTACTATTAATATTTTATTATATCACATAATATAAGTTGTCACCTGTTTATCCCTTTATCCATTCTCCTATCTATCCATTATTCTATCTTTTTTTGTTTGTTTTTGGATGCATTTCAAAATAAGTAGCAGATACCAACACACATCAACCCTAAATATTTCAGCAGTATTTGTTTAGAGGTCTTTTTCTTTTGAGGTGAAATTTACGTAGAAAGATCTGCACAGATCTTAAGTGTACCATTTAATGACCTCTATCTCGTTTCCTTCCTTGTCATTTGTGTTCTAATAAGTTCTAATAAGGGGCCTATTACCCATTATAAGGCTATACTCCCAAACTTGTATATTCATTTGGATTTTCAAAAATAGACTTTGAATACCACAAAGTACCTTAACATTTTTTTCTTTATTCTTTTTGTTTTTATTATATAAATGTGCTACAGTATAGTGATTCTGGTTAAAGATATTTTTATATTTTCCATATTGTTCTGTGCTTCACCAGAAATTCTTAGCATGGCCAATTATATCACATGATGCATGCTAGAGGAAATTGAGGATCCGTTTGTTTAGTTAAAAGTATGTAATTATAAAGAAAGGCTAGGATTGCCCTTTGTTAACTTTTATAAACTACATATGTAAAAGAGCTAGTTAATTTAAGACACTTTAAACATTTATGGAGTGCTTTGTGGTTTAAGTGCTTGCATTTATCTTAACTCACTTGAGCCTCACGTTAACCACGTTAGAGAGTTGGGACAGTTGTTATTTCTGCTCTCTAGATGAAGAAACCAAGGCTTATGCAGGGAGAAGAGCAACACAGCAATCGGTCGTGCAACCAGCTGAACTCATCCTCTCACTTTAAATTTCGTCCAGTGGCACCGACTACAATCACGCTAATTCTTTTATTCAGATGCCGTCCTGGATCCTGGGATTTTTGCTTATGAATAACTACCAAGTGTTTTATTGGGCAGACTAGGGTTAACTGTAATGACAATGCTGAGACAAAGACTTACGCCAATATTTTGAGTTCTCTATGATGAAATACTTGGGTATAAGGGAACTGCAACTATCAGGGTCCAGACAGAACTAGCTAAGTGTGCTATATTTAGAACATGGCACACTGATGCTCTGCTGTTCTTACAGAAGTGAACAATATCGTGATTGAAATGCCACTTAATGTGGCAAAATGCCTATTTTTCAGAAATGTTTTATGTGAGAAGCTCACTGGAGAAGAGAAAGCCTTATTGATGTGTCTGTTTTGGAAGGTTTATATTCCACAACATCTCTTCTTTCCCTTAGGTAGACAAATACTTAATGAAAAAACCATCTGGAGAAAATCAGCTTGACATTGTCTGGGTAAAGGACATAACAAAAATGCAGGCAGTTTTGTTCTTGTCAGTGGATATAAAGGTTTAGCTTTTGGTTTGGTTGCTAGCACTAAGGAAAAGCTGAAAGAGATGAACATGGCTCCTGAAGAAAAGTGTTCTTGGGAAACCTTGGAATAGAAACTAACTGAAAGTCCTTTGGAATCAGAAACTGGAAATAATCTATTCGAGGTCACTTTTGAGTCAGTATCTTTATTTTTGTCATTTTGTTGGAAAGCAGTTTTCTGTTGGCTGTGCCAGAAATCTTCTTTTCAGGTTTCCCCTGTCACTGATACACGATGTTCTGGAGTTTATTAGAAGATAGTTGCATAGGAGCTGAAAGCTTTAAATTTTTCTAATATTAGCAACGGTGTATGCCCACAGAAGGCAAATAATAAAATTTTAAAAAAAGCAGTAGGTTGTTTTTTGAAATAGTTAATGGTTGGTCTGCCTCATGTGCAACAGATAAAGGTGACAGGTCCTGGCCAGTCACTGACGTAAACACCTGGGTACCCTTGTAACTAGGACAAGAAGGACGAGGGAGACAGACAGAAAGTTGCTCCCATTTCCTGCTTATGCTGTGCCCCCGTCCCTTCTGCTATCATCTTTCTCTCAGGGCGGGTCAGCTTGGAGCTTGTTACATACTTTTGGTTTTTAGGCACTTTTGAGAAAAGATAATCCTATATGTAAATCTGTGTGCTAGGAATATCCTCGCGGCTCTAAGGTCCAAGGCAGTGTTAATTGAGAAAGGAGGAAGAAATGGATTATGGGGAAAGAGAGAACAATACTAGATTCAAAAAAGTGCCAGCAGCAGTGGCTTCAGATAGTGCATCTCAGCTGTATAGCTTATTGTGCCTAATTTGAGTGTGATCCACTTTGAGGCCAGTTTATTCTTTGATCTGAATGTTTTTATTTACTTATTTTTAAATGCATCTCTCTTTCCCCAGTGCTATTGAAATTTTAGAGAATCGAGAAGAAGGAAAAAAATGCATCCATAATCTCACCCTCCTAATGAAACTATTGTTAAACTTTTGCTACACTTCCAGCCAAACCTTTTTTTTTTCTTCTGTAATTATTTTTATGTGCCTCCAGTTAGAAAATGCCTATGTTTTTGTATCCTGCTTCTGTGAAATGTCTTTCAGTGAGTCCTTGAGTCCTTGGAATGTTGGCTGAAGGACAAATGTTGGATGATACCACAGTGCGTCAGCTAAATGGTCACTCCAGTCGGAAAAGGAATTTTGTATGGCATGCTGCTTTTTTCTCAGTGGGTGACCATTACTATTAAATAGGTGAATGATTTGTAAGATGATGCTGAGGATGATGGGAGACTCCTGGAAAAACTACTCAGTGCTTTTCAGAAGCTGTCCTAATTTGTGGCTAGGATTTATCAGCTGCTGCTTTCAGATATACCTTCTTTTTCCCCTTCCATTTCCATTTAAATGAGTCCTTTTCTAATATACAAATATATTTTCTATGGCAGAATAACAGACTGTCATCAGTCTTCATTCTGATTGGCAAACATCACAAGCCAGCTATGTTGGGAATAAGAAATGGTGTCAGCTAAGATGGGAGTGGCCTGAATTTTCATTGGAGAGAACTTTTTTGGAAGAATGGATTGATGAAGTAGCTCTGTTTTATTTTGCTTGAATCAAGTCATTTCTAGTACATTAAAGCCACTTGTAGATTTAATATAGTTCATTCTACTAGGACAATTGTAACAAGATTTTGTGACTCCCAGTGTAATGAAATTTCACCTGTTTTGTTAAAACTAGGGAAAAATTAAATTAATGGATTATTTCATTAAATGAGCTGTACTTCTCAAGAACGTGTATAGGAGAGAAAGAGATCATGTAAATCAGGATACACTGTCTCATGAGAATCTCTAATTTCAAATACTATGTGTTGTTAGAAAGGTTAGATGGTCTTTACCATCCTTGTTATTTAATCCTAGCAGATGAATTTTTCTTCTCTGTTTTGTAAAAATACATCTACTTCATAATAATAACACTAATAATAGATCCATATTCTTAATCGTTGGCCTATATCATTACTGTTTTGTTTGTCACTGTATCTTCGGCACCTCCCATACATAATACCTCCCTGGCGATAGCAGGCACTCAGAATTTGTTGCCTAGATGGTGTTCTGCTAAGTGCAGAATAATAAACTTTTTTTTTAATGTGGTAATGGTTTAATTAGAATTGTTTCTTAAATTACACTAAAAAGCCAACTTACCTTTGTAGCTTTAAGGCTCTATGTTAAAATTTCTTCATATGTTCTCTCAGAGCTTTAGGCTGAATGACTTTTCTGAAATGTTTTTTACTCTAGAATGGAAATAGATTTTAGAAGTAGCTACAGCAGTCTTAAACTATTACTGCTGTTTGCAGTTTCCTGAGGTTAATATTATAGCATGTTCTCATAGGTTGACCTGGGTAGCTTGGTACAAAGAGTTAGGAGGTTTAGTAATTAGTATAAATTTAAATATTCTAAAATTTATTGAAATATGTTGATAGTGGAGGACAAAGTGTTTTGTGACTAATTTCTTTAATTTACACATAAATACCTAAATATAATTGATCTTTGTTAGAGGTATAAACAAGCATTAAAATTGCTGAAAGAGAAACATTCTAAATTATTCTGTTTCTTTTTTATTTCAGGGCTGAAAACAGTGAAGTCACTTCTCACAGTTAATAGACTATTAAGAAGACAAGATGGGGACTCCTGGTTCTGGAAGGAAAAGAACACCTGTGAAAGACCGATTTTCTGCAGAAGATGAAGCTTTGAGTAGCATTGCCAGAGAGGTATGTCTGGAAAGCCCCTTTCAACACTGAGTTGTACAGATGAGAATGCTGTGAAAATGCTGGGGAGGGAAGGGGAGATATATATATATATAAAATAGACATTCATTCATTGAGCTGGTTTCAGAATGCTTACTAGATGGCCTCTAAAATTCTGTATTAGAATAAAATACAGTTATCGTCTCTTTATTCAACTTATCTAAAATTTATTTTTAATTTTTTGTAGATTAGTTGACTTCCAGGAAATTTGTCCTAATGTATTGAAATTTATAATTAGTCTTCATTATTGAAACTTAAGGTAATGAGAATGTTGAAGATATGATAACTGTATTATAGAAGGGCACATTGGGCTATACAGTTAAAATATTTCAGGAAGCACTGTATGAATGTTGACAGAAACAATACTTTGGTGTCTGCTCAGATTCAGTGTCTTAGCTGTTTTTGAAATACTGCAATGGAATTTTTATGTTTAAGTTTTAGCTAGTATTAGAGCTTCTGGAGCATTTTTGTTTTGGTTTGTTGACAACTTGGAAAAAAGGAAAGAGGGGTCACCTGTTGAATCTCTGGCAACATTTCCTGTTACATATTGGAGATTTAACATAACTCCCAGCTATGGTTTCTTAGGTGCCAACTTTGTTTCAGATTCTAACTCTGTCGGCAACTGCAGATCTGACCATAAACCTGGTACAAGAATTGTTCAGAGTGTTTTAAAATTATATTCTTTGGGTGAGAATTATTCCCTCATTTCCTCTTTGTTATTCTTAGTAAATAACTCATTTAGCACTAGTGCTGTTTCCTTTTGACATATTACACAGTCTTTTTTTGGACCAGCTCATTGTTACGTTTTTCCTTTTGTAAGCTACTCAACTTTTGAATTAGAAGTCAGATTCTGTAGGAGGATATTTGAAGCAAAGGAAAGTTATCTAAAAACTGATGACAAAATTGTGATAATACTTTAACAAAATTATATTTAAAAATCAGTGAGATATTTTTGGATAAAAAGCTAAAAGATATTTAAAAGTGAAGTAGTGGGTAACACTTTACAGTGATCTTAAGTATTTATAGGAATGAAGTATTTTCAAAGCCACATAGTTTTAGTTGAAAATTGAAACTACTCAAAATGTTTACTTCCAAAACTGGAGTGATTTACCCAGATTTCTGTAAGGAGAGAAAATGCCAATATATTTTAGGCTTTTTTTATGCTGTCACTAAATATTTGAACTGTTTTTTTTTGAATATGATGTTTCATTTACAAAATTGAGTAGCATTCTAGAATCCAACACTTCGAGTGCTTACTATGTAACGAATACTAGTCTAAGCATTTAAAATGAATTAATTCATTTAATCTTCACAAAATTCTGAAATTGGTTCTATTATTATCTCCATTTTACAGATGAAGAAATCACTGTGCAGAAAAGTTAAGTAACTTCCCTAAGGTCACACAGCCAGTAAATAGCAGAAGAGTCAAACATATGAAGTCTGACTCCAAGGTCTCACTATGCTATAGTGATTCTCAGTCTTCTCTAACTCCTCCATTAATAGTTTGTATTTCTATAGCATTTAATGATTTTGAAAGCACTTCTTCATATCTTGATTCTCATAATAACCTTATGAGTTAGGTAGGAAAGTTATTGTTATCAGCCTTATTTACAGATGAGGAAACAGATGAAGTTGAGAGATTAATGTCTAAAAGATATCAGAACTGGAACTCAATTCAGAATTTAAATTTGAATTTAAAGCCGTTGTTCATTCTTCTGTTTCATCCTACTTCCAGAAGAGCAGGGCTTTGGAAAGTTTTAAGTGTGGCTTTGAATTCTGGCTTTGCTAGTTGCTGGTTGAGTAATTTTGTTAAGAAACTAATGGACTTCAATTTCCTAACCTGTAAAATGGGAATAATACTGTCTTTCTATATCTTAAGGCTGTTGTGACAGTTAAAGGAAATAATGCATGTAAACTTGAGCATAGTGTTAGGCTTATAGTAGGCTATTTTGTTGCTTATTAATAAGTTGAAATAGAAAGTGAGAATCGAAGTAAAATATTCTCTTTTTGTTAAAAGATATTTATTAACAGAAGTGTCCTAAAACATGGTGGATCATCAGAATCTCCCAGGTTGCTTTTTCAATGTATGGATTCCCAGGCCTTACACTATACTTGCTAAATCTGAATCAATGGGATTGAGCTCAGAAATCTGTATTTAAAGACACACACACACACACACACTCACTACACACTCCTTCCTTGAGCATTTTGATGGCCAACCATGAGAACCAGGAACCAGGGTACACAGAAGATCCTGTGGATGGTCAGTTTTTTTATACTTACAGGTTGTTTTCCTCTGTGTACATTATTATTTTGCTGTGAAATAATTGAGTTTAATCCAGTTATTATATTACAAGTTACAATAATTAAAGTTATTATTATAAAAGGTTTTAAAAGGCCAAATTTCTGGTTTTTATTTGTATCTTCAAAACTCTGAATGAGTATTCCAACTTTAATAGCCTGGTCAAAAGGCTCATGGAACATGAAAGGGCTAGTGTTTACTAAAGATTCAGACTTTATTTGCAGAATAAGTGCCTAATATGTGTTACAGTAGTTGTAAAACTTTAGAGGAAATAGATTTAGTAATTCTTTTATGTATTCTTTGTGATTTTTTTCTCTTTGTCGTAAAGTTTCATAGTCAGTTCTTAATGGTCCATTTATACATTAGATGTTCAACATTCACAGATAGTCTCTAATACTTATTTTCTCTGATAGGATCATCCCTTTCACACACACACACACAAATTGCCTTAAGTTAGGAACAAATAAAAACTCACAGAACCCCCATAACAATTAAAAAGGACAAATAGCTTTATCTTGTTTTTTTCAGTTAAATCTTAAGAGTTTATTTTTCCTCACTTCAAATTGTTTTTTGAGGTAGGCAGGGCATGCCGTAAATAATGAAAAATAAGCTCATTTTCCTCATGCTGTCTGTTCAGATTTCCATCCTTCTCAGTTGGTCCTAAAGCAGGCAACCAGAGGGAATGAGGAGGAAAAGAAACTAAAGACATCAGTATATTCTGTAAGCTGGATAACATGGAACTGAGTGCATTTTAAAAATTGTCGTAAGATACACATAACAAAATTTACCATCTCAGTCATTTTTAAGTGTACAGTTCTGTGGGCTTAAGTACATTTACATTGTGCAACCATTATCACCGTCCATCTCCAGAACTCTTTTTATCTTGTAAAATCTATTTGCAGTTTTAAAAGATTTTGAAATGTTTGGAGACTGCTCTGTGAAGGCGCAAATGCGGATGGTGTAGAAGTCCTGTCATGGCTGTAATAGGCATGTTGCTGCTATGCTGGGGGAACATGTCTGTCACAGCTTTCAGAAGAGCTCATAAGAGCAGGTATTGGAGGAGGTCACCAGTACTTCCGAAATTTGCCATTTTAACCATTTTAAAGTCTACAATTCATTGGCATTAATTACAGTAACAATGTTGTGCAACCATCACCACATTCTATTTCAAAAACCTTTTCATCACCCCTAGACAGAAATTCTGTAACCATGAAGAAATAACTCCATTGCTCCCTCTTCTTGCTCCTGATAACCTCTGACCTACTTTATGTCTCAATGAATTTGTCTAATTCTAGATATTTCATATAACTGGAATTGTACAATATTTGTCCTTTTGTGTCTGCCTTTTTTCACTTAGCATAATGTTTTTGAGATTCATCCATGTTGTAGCATGTATCAGAACGTCATTCCTTTTTTTCTCCTTTTAAGTAACTTAATTTTCCTTTTTTTAAAATGGCTGAATGATATTCTGTTGTATATGTTTATGACATTTTGTTTATCTGTGTATCTATGGATGGACACTTGGTTGGATTTTATTATTTTGTTGCCTGAAGAGGTAGATTTCAGGCATCTAGTAGTGAGAACCAGAAGTTTGTGGTTTTGATTATGGATTAGCAGCCTGAGAAGAAGGATACAAAGAGAAGAATTGTGCTTAGTTTAGAAGATACTGTCCAGTTGTATTGTTTTATGGAATAATAATCATATTAGCTTCATAGAGCTAATTGTCTTCTCATAGTTATTTTGCTGTTTTATTTGAGTAATTTATTCATTTTTAGGCCATGGCAAATTAAATATAAAAAACTTCTAGCAAGGGTAGCAGTTTTTAAAAATGCAAAGAATTGCCATAATAAACAATAATTATGGGTCTTAAAACTATCTTTCATTTAAGAGTAAAGTTTTTTTAAAACGTGAATTTTGAATGTCATTCATTGAGTAAATGTTTATTGAGCATCTGCTCTCTGTAGGTGCTGTGTTAGGTACGGAGGACATGGAATGGACAGATCTAACGTGGTCATTTCCCTTTTTGGAGCTTAGATTCTAGAGGGAGAAACTGATGCTAAAAAATAATTACATAATGGACTAGTTCTTTGATTTTTCAGCTTCTTTTTTCCTTCAAAATTAATGTCTGTGTTTAACATGGTAATTTTTTTTCTGTCTTGAAAGCTGTGATTTTCAGTGTATGTCACAATCAGTAGCATTCTTAGAATTGAGGAAATAATATATTTATTTACAACTGTGTTGAGTGCTTTGAGTGAACAGGAAATGATTTTGTTAGAGTGTCTGACAGGGGGACTTAACATGTTTGGAGCTCTGAGAAGGCTTCCCTGAGGAAGCGCCCTTTCAGTTGAGTTTTGAAGAAGGAGTGAAATTATTGAAGGGAGAGAGTTTTCAAATAAGAGGAAGAACTTAACAGTCACAGGGAAGAATGTGTGACAAGCTCCTGAGGTGAGAGAGTGTGGAGAATTCGAGGAAGAACAGCAGCAACAGCTAACATTTGCTGAGCTCCTACTGTGTACCAGGCGCTGTTCTAAGTTCTTTAAATGAATTGAATCCTCTTAATAACTCTGGGGTGGTCTGCCGTTCTCATTTTATCCACGATGAATCCAAGGCATGGAGAAGTGAAGTAGCTTGTGCAAAGTCACATAGCCAAGCGGCAGGGCTG